GGAGGTCCCTGAGCATTCCAAGGCCCTTTCAGGAATTCCCTCAGGCTTCCTAATCTTGTGACATCAAGTATCACTCAGTACTTTTCTTTAGGTATTTCATACTATGATAAATAAACATATGTGTGTATGTATGTTTATGATATATGTCCATGTATGTCCATGCATTTACCATATATATAGAAAGAATAGTATGAAATCCTTTAGTTCATAAGTGAAAGTCTGAACTTACAAAGTAGATGATTTGGGAGTATTACATTACAATTTTTTAAAATTTAAAACATTTTTTTCCAATCCAACATTGAGATAACTCTTTTCTACTATGAAATTTAGTGTATTACTACAGATATGCTGAACTTTTTAGGGACATTTATTTTACAAATGAAGCTATACGTCTAGTGGGCAACAGATCGAAAAGTGAGACCCAAAATTATATATATATATTTTTGGTTTTACCTCCTAATTCTTGCTATGGAGAGAATATTCAGAATAAATACTATTTGATACTGATTTTTTTTGGTCATATGTAAAAATGTATACTGACTTATCTGTAATAAAAATACATTTCATAATGCGTCTCTATTTTTGTTCTGCTTTCCATTGTTTCAGATATGCTTGGGTATGCAAAAGTGTTATTTAAACTATAAATAACCAGAGAAATGTTGGTTGTTGCTGCTATCATTCTTTCTTTGTTGCCTTTAGTATTTCTTTCCAAATAAATCATTTGCCAGAAGACAAATGTAATTTGTTTGCCCTTCTTGGCAACAATCATTTGCCAGTTTTTTATTTGAATATTTTTTCTCACTTCTTTGAGAACTTGCTCAGTTTTCTAAAGTTGAATATGAGGGCTGCCCATGGCTCATGCCCATTCCAGGAAATTTTTTGCTTCTAAATATTTCCGGAATTAAACCCTTTCTATTTATTTCTATTGCCACAACCTAGGTGGCACTCTCAACGCCTCATCTGGCATAGCATCTGCCCATTCTGCCTCTGGTCTTTCTTGCCTTCAGTCTGCTCTGTCTCATGCTACAAGTGTTATCCTGAAACAATCTTACCATGTCCTCGACATGCTGAAGATCTACATGCTTCCTTTACTGTTCCTTAACATTCTCCAATCAAACTTATCTGCCCAGGTTTCCCTAGAGAAGCCCCTAACTGATCACGACTGCTACATGCTGCATGTTCTCTATGGTTGAATGTCCTTTTTCTCTTGACTAATCCACATCCTTTACACTTTTAGTCATGCCATCTACCATAATTCCATAGTGATTCTTCCTTTTGCTGAATTCTAATAACAACAACATTTATTCACTTATTCATCATGTATTGAAGAACTACTATATGCGAGGCATTTTGAACATATAGTGCTGAGTAAAACTATTATGATCTTTGCTCTTTAATGGAATCATATGTGCTATAGTGGAATGGTGCCAAATTGCTTTTTTATTTTATCAATATGATTTTAATTAATAGAAAGATTATCATAAATTTCAGATATAACTTTTTGTATCAAATAATTTTTAATTTCTTTTTTATTTTAAAGATGTAGGGTACAAGTCAGGATTGGGTACATAAGTGGCCTATATACAGGTGAAGACTTTTCAATCAGCTTGGAAATTTCTTATTGTCAACAACTGTCATGTTTCATAGTCTCACCAGAGTAGGACAGAGTAAGCTGTTGTCTTGACTGGACAACCTCAAGGTCTACCTTATAAATATGAAGTCAAATCACTTCCTTTAGGCTTTTGCAGAATTCTATTACTTAAAACAATCTCTGTGAAACTAAAGAACCCAGCACTCAATTCAAAAGGATCCAAAATGCCAATTTCCTCTTTTATAGAATAGGTCTATATTGGTGATTTTTTGGAGAATTTTTTATTTAAATACATAATTTTACATTTGTTCAAGTGTAACTTCCTCAGGTGTTAGAGATCTAACATAGATGACCTCAATTATTTAATAAAAAAGCCAAAAGAAAGAAAAATAATAATCTCCATAGTTTCTATAAGAATTGTAATTGCTTGAAGATTATAGTAGTAGTGGGAAAATAAATCTCAAAAAGAGAACTTCCCTCCTTAATTAGAAACAATTATCAAATAATTAGAAAAACATAAAAACAGGCTGTAACTCTTCCTGAAAGCAGAATTAGAATTCCCAGGTGGTCTCTGAGCTGGGAAAATGATGAATCAGTTCTTACTCATGTAGGGAACGAATACATTTCTTTGCTGCAATTCAGCATAAAAGGTATCAGGATTGCATAAAATTTACCACCTGTGATTTCACTGTCAACTGACACTTTTCCCATTCCTAGCAGCTTTAAATCCCTAGAAAGGCCTACAGGGCCACTCAAGATTCTTGTGCTTTGCTTTCAAACTGATGGCTCCCATGAGGTCCACTTTGAAGATAGTCATTTAGAGACTTTCAACCCAGGACTCCTTAGTCTTATAAACAACTTCTTTTGTCTAAACCAGAGGCTGTTAACTGAGGAGTTCTCCAAGGAGATCTGGGATAGAATTCAGGAGTTTTGTGAATTTTAATAGAGGATAAAAAAAAAAAATCTCGATTTTCACTAAGCACTAACTGAAACGTAGGTAAAAACCAGAGAAGTATTAGCAGTCTTTGGGACTTTTTTACTGATATAAATCACAAATATGTTCTTATTACGTTTCAGCAAATATTTCAAAATATCATTGATAATCATCATTACTTCACAATTACAGTAGTAATTAGAACTGCCACTATATTTTGTTATTTAATATATTAACAAATAAGAACATATGTTACTATTCTACTCATTTGGTTTTTTAAAAAAAATTTTTGATAATTATATATTTCAGTATAATTAGCTGCCTTTGTAACCCTATGTATTTTATTTTATGCATTTAAAAACATTATGCTGAGAAGGGGTACATAGACCTCCCAGACTGCCAAAGGTACCTATGACACATAAAATAGTTAAGAACCCTTAGCTCAATTCCATTTGATATTTGTTAACAGATCACATGGATGTAAAGAAATCAAACAATAGTTTTGGATCAGGGTATAGACTCAGTGTGACATCCTCCCAAGTCTTGCAATCATTTACATGTGCCACTCTAGTCAGATGAGTATGCAGTCAGTTAAATGGAAGAATAGTACAAACTCCATAAAACAATTAATGTGTTATTATTATTTGGGGCAGTAGTAGCAATAATAATAATACACATATTTTTAAAACTTTCTTCCATGTTTTTGCTGATTTCAATTGTTAAAATCTCACTCAATATAATATTATTACATCTATTTTCTCATTTAGTTGTCACATCTCTGAAGGGGAAAAGCAGATCAGATTACCATCATGTAATAGATGAGAAAACTGAGGTTCAGGAAAGGTGAAGTCCTTACAGTTGGTTGGGGTTTTAAAAAAAAGATTATAATGTTATCTCCACTTAGCAGATGGGGAAATGATCTCTGAGAGGTTAGGGAAGTTGCAGTAAGTGTCAGAGCTAGGATTCAAACCCAACTTGGTTAGATTCCAAAACCTTGTTTCTTTCTATTGTGTCGTGCTGCCTGCTTCACTACTCCTTTCTCCAAATTACAGAGCTGAAGGATTGTCAGAAATGACACCCCCGCTGCTCCCTCAACAAAATTATAACTTTCTCAGTTGAATCATGGGGTATACTCAAGGGAGAGGAAGATAGATCATTTCCAAAACTTTGGCACAGCTCTTAGTCCACTTGAGGGCCCCAGGAGAGGGGGCGTGTCTTTGGGATATTAGTGCTGCTTTCTCCTTCAAGGCTGTGCCCACCCCTCCACTTGGGAGTCCAAAGCCTTCACTCTCTGCTCTGTCGAATCTCAAGTACGCAGCCATACCCGGATGGGAATGTGTGTTCTGAATCAAGTAATTTGCTACAGAATGGGAATCATTAGATAGACATGTTTTTCAAATTTTAGGAATAAATCTGATTAATGATCAATGCTTATATATCATATTTCCCAATTTTGTAAAGGTAAATTGTATTATTCATTTGTGGGCTTTTGAGGGGGCAAAGAAACATTTTCTCCTCCCCTTTGGTCTTTTAACTTTCCAATTGGCTGTTAAACTGTTGCAGATCACAAATCAAGAGCATGTTGGTAATTCCCCATTACAAGAGCAGGCAGTAGTGGGAGTCCTTGTACTCTTAAAAATTTCAGGCTTAGGAGGACTCGGAAAACTGTCCACAAAGTGTTCTCCAATTGTGAACCCTTGCAGGGTAGTTGAGGTTCATCCTAATTACCCTCCTTTTTTTCTGAAAGCGCTCATTTTGGCCATTTTGGCAATGCCATATTTAATCTGTTTCAACTCTAGTGAGATTGACAGTCTCTGATGTTGCTTTTAATTCTTCTCATGTGTTGCCTACTCATTTGCAAACTGTTCTTAACCCTAGTCTTTCTTTAACTATAACAATGAAACTGTTACAAAGTCATGCATATGTAAATCTATTTTTTCAAGTCATTTGCTTATCAGATTCCCTTTAAGAGCCCATGTTCACTTCTGTCTTCTGTCCTAAATCCTCACTTTCGTGTAATAGTTAATCTCCATTTAAATGTTTACAAAGGATTTATCCTTCTAGACATTTTGCGCATTAGTTTGGTGCTCCAAAGACAAAATCTAAAAGCTGCAATAAATTAAACTTTACAACTTTGGTTTCAAAAACAAACTTCTGAACAATATGAGTGTCCCCCCACCACCACCAAAAAAAAGAAAAAAAAAAAAGCTTTATCCCAGTCAACTTTCTGAAAAACTAGGCAAATATTCTTAAATTCTTTTCACTTGAAATATAATTATGCATCATCTGATACATTACTGCAGTGTCCTTTAACAGGAAGAGAGTTAACAATAAAGTTAAACTGTTGAATGTTTGCAAGGGGAAAAGATACATTTACAGTTTTACTCTTCTTTGTCATAGTGGTTTAAGAAAGATTTGAGACAACAACTGAAATACAATCACTTTCCTTCCTCTCTTTTCTCGTCCTCTTTTCAGGCATTTCCACAATTTACAGAATCTTAGTCTGGCTTATTGCAAAACGTTCACAGACAAAGGCTTACAGTACCTGAACTTGGGGAACGGATGCCACAAGCTCATCTATCTGGACATCTCCGGCTGCACCCAGGTTAGTCTCTCAGGCTTCTCTTTCCTGCAGCAGGCGAGGAAGTCCTTGGAAGAACGGGCTGCATCCAGCCCTCATGTTATACTAATGCTGTGCACGGACCGCAGCACACTTTTCAGAGGTTTTAAATTACATGACCACAGCTGCTGAGATTTTCCCTAGAATCGCTACTATAGGCTCTTGGCGTCCTTCCACCGGAGTGTCACATCGACAAACAGGCAGAGCTCATTGGATGAGGAAACAGACCACTTCTGTGGAGACACTTGAGCACATTTCTAACACCAGAGTCCAAATCTTGAAAATGTTGGAGTTGCTACCAAGATATAAACAAAGGAAAGCCTTTTAAGGGAGAATTTGCACCAGATTCCTGAAAAGTCAGTTAGCTTCCACATGGGTTTCTGGGTAAAATGCTACAAGTGATAATTATGAGAAAGGAAACACAATAAAGATAGTAATTTTTAAAATGGCATTACATCCTTAGGCTAAATAACAAGAAGATTTGAGATGTATGCGGGAAAATATTTTAAGTTTGCGGGAACAGGATTTTAAAGTTGAGCAGAAAAAAGAGTAAAGTTGTAGAGCATGGAGCATGGCACTTTTTACTGCCTCATGCAAGTTTCTTCAGCTCTACGTTTGATAGACTTAAGACTAAAATTCTTTTAACTTATTTTCTTCTACTCTTTTGTATATTTTATTAATACTGGTGCCATAGTATGTTCATTAATCTATAAGATAATAGCACAGGTGAGAACTGGCCAAAATCTTGATAGTTACCACTTATTGAGTCATATGCCAGGCAGTGTGTTGAGTGCTATACACAGATCAGATTTACTCACCGTACAATGTGGTATAGTATGTATTTATTATGCCCATTTAAAAATGAAGAGACCAAGGCACAAGGTGGCTAAACAAATTGCCACAAGTTGCACAGCTGGTAAAAGCACCCGGTACTAATACAGTTATAAGCACCCGTTGGTAGATACCTAGGCAGGCGGAATCCCCTGAGGGAGCAGGAAATACAAGGGTGGCACAGGTTTCTCTTCCAAGTTCTTGAATGGACAGAATTCTTACCTAACAACCACCACTGGCATTGGCATACCATGGTTTCCTGTTGCACTAGGTGATGGGGTGGATGTTGGGGAAAAGAGGACTCTAAGCTAGGACTTAAAATGTCTAGCATTAACATCTGTTTAAAATGGACCTACTGATGTATAGCTTGCTAAACATCAACATCTACCTCAACTTTATGGCGGAAAAGGCCTTAACGTTCTCCTCAGCCTGACTGAACAGGCTTCTTCCTGACTCTGACCCCTGACAGGCTTCTTCCTGACTCTGGCCTCTGACCTCCCTTTTCTTAGATCATTTGCTTTAGAAAACTTGGAAATGTACATTCTTTCTCTGCCTCCTTTGAGATGTAAATCTTTTTAGAAAGTTTTGCTGGCTTTACAACCCAGGGATGTGTTTTTCAAGAACCTGGGAGCTATCCCTTTGGTATATAATCATCAAAGAAGATAGCACCCCTATGCAGAGGGTAGGAGTCTATTAGCAAACTCAAATGGCCTAATTACAGAAAAAAAAAAATTGCAAATGCAGGAATAACTTAATGTGCTCGACACATCCCAATGACCAGCTTCCTCCTGAACTATAAGTCCTCCAGTACTTTTCTACTAGGTCAGCCCAGTGCTTAAAACCCTCTCTACAGTGTGACTTATTTACTTATTCATCTCAGTTTCTCCATTCCCATAAGGTAATTATTATAGCAATAACACACAACACATACACAGTCACAGAAGCACACACTTATGTCCTAAGGATACATATTTTCAGACACAGTCTGAGATCAGAGACTTCAGATCTATGACCCATTGCCCAGTTATGCATACAAAATACACACACTCTGCCTGTCTTTAAAGTTTGAGAAAATATGTTAAGTTTTGGAGTTTTCACAAAACATTCTAGATATGAAGCTTCTCTTAAAAAATTGAAACATGGCAGGTTGTGGTAGCTCATGACTATAATCCCAATAGTTTCGGAGGCTGAGGTGGGAGGATTGCTGGAGCTCAAGAGTTCAAGACCAGCCTGGACAACAAAATGTCTCTACAAAAAATAAAAAATAAAAAATTGCTGAGCATGGTGGCAATTGTAGTCCTAGCTGTGTGGGAGCCTGAGGTGTAAAGATAACCTGAGCCCAGGAGGTCAAGGCTGAGGAGCCATGATTGTGTCACTCTACTCCAACCTAGGTGACAGAGCTAGACCCTGACTCAAAAAAAAAAAAAAGGAGCAAAGTTGGAGCCATCACACTTCAGACTTCAAACTTTATTATAAGGCTACAGTAACCAAGACAGCATGGTACTGGTACAGGATTAGACACATAGACCGATAGAACAGGACAGAGAATCCAGAAATAAAACCACATACTTTCAACCAACTCATCAACAAAGCTGACAAAAGCAAACATTGAGGAAAAGAAAACATAGTTAGCAAACGGTGCTGGGAAAACTGGCTAATCACATGCAGAAGAATGAAACTGGATCCTTACCTATCACTGTATACAAAAATTAACTCAAATCAAAGACTTAAATGTGAAACCTCAAACTATAAGAATCTTAGAATAAAATTTAGGGAACATCTTCCTAGACATCAGAGTAGGCAATGAATTCATAGCCAAGTTCTCACAAGCAAATGCAACAAAAGCTAAGACTGACAGGTGGGACCTTATCAAACTAAAAAGTTTTTGCACAGTGAAAGAAATCATCAAGAGAGTCAAGAGACAACCACAGAATGGGGGGAAAAATGTTTGCAAGCTATGCATTTGACAAAGGCTTAACATCCAGGATCTACAAGTTACTCAAACAAATTGGAAAAAAACAACCCCATTAAAAAGTGGGCAAAGGACATGAACAGACATCTCAAAGGAAGACATTCAAGCACCAACACACATATGAAAAAATGCTCAGCCTCACTAATCATCAAATCATCAGAACAATGCAAATCAAAACTTCAATGAGATACCACCTTACATCAGTAAGAATTGCTATCATGAAGTCAAAAAACAACAGGTGTCAGTATGGCTGCAGAGAAAAGGGAACACTTCACTGTTCGTGGGTTCAACCTTTGTGAAAAGCAGTGTGGCATTTTCTCAAAGAAGTAAAAATTGAGCTTGCATATGATCCAGCAATCTCACTTCTGGGAATATATCCAGAGGAACCTAAATTGCTCTAGCAAAAAGACATCTGCACATGCAGGTTCACTGCAGCACTATTTACAATAGCAAAAACATGGAACCAACCCAGATACCCACTGAAAGTGAACTGGAATAAAAAAGTAGTACACACACACGACGGAATATTATACAACTATAAAGAAAAACAAAATCATGTCCTTTGAAGCAACATGGATGGAGCTGGAGACCATCATTCTAAGTGAACTATCACAGAAACAAAACACTGAATACCACATGTTCTCACTCATTAGCGGGTCCTGATCACTGGTCATATGAGCACAAAGGTGGGAACAGCAGATGCTGGACACTTCTAAAGGAGGGGAGAGGGGGGATGGATAAGGGGCACACAACCACACACTGGGTACCAGGTCCGCTATCAGGGAGGAGAAAAGGACTTACTAGAAGCCCAAACCTCACCTGCACACAATTTACTTATGTAGCAAATCCTCACATGTACCCCACAATTCAAATAAAAGAAAATACCTACAATTAATTTGTTTTTTAAAAAAGGAAGAACTAGCATAATTGGACCTGTGTTCCCACATGGCAACAATGGGTTGGGCTGAGGCAGCCTCCCTCCCTGGTGATGGAGCACACTCTTGTGGTTTGTCAACCTCCTCTACTCAGTAATGTCAGCACATGCATTCACACCTGGATGGCTACCACTTAACTGCGTTGCCTGCCTGACCTCAGTAAATATTTGAGTTTCTAAATGTGTGAAGATTAGAATTCTTCTCCTGATTATTCCTTAATGTGTAAGTCTCAAAACATAGTAAAGCTAGAATTTCACATCATTACATAAAACAATGTTGGTATGTTTCATTCATCCCTCTCCTGTTATCATTTGTTCATTTAATAACTCTGCCATTTGAAACTGAGCCCCTGTAGGTCCACTGGGAGGAAGAAATGGGTTCAGGAAACACCCATATCTTAGTACTGGCTGCTGTTGTAGCCTCATGACAAACCCATGAAGCTCAGATGGTACTGCTTTTGAGTGACATGCGTCCTTTGAGTGGCTCTGTGTCTCCAGTTCTGAGTGTGGTTACAAAAATGATTTCAATAAAGAAAAATTGATGATTCACAGATTTTTGAAGTTTTTTCCTCTAAGTAAGAAGTTATATCTAGAAAACTAGAATGTATTTTCTTTTTATAAACTTGGAAATTTGCACTAGGAAATGATAGGCTAATATATCTGACCAAGAAAAAAAGGCCCTAATGAAACAAAAAGACTTGAGTATAGGAGCTTACACCTAAATGCTTTTAGCTGGCATTTGTCAAGTGCTTGTTGCATTCTGGGCACTGTGATGAACACAACAGCATCTCTGTCTTTCAAGATCTCTGGAGTAACATAAACATGGTATGTCAAGGACTATACTGGATGCAGCCACTGCTGTCCAAAAAGGGAAAATTTTATTTAGACAATATTATAAAAGAATTTAAGCGTACTTATTAGAAAAAGAACTGATGATGGAGAGGTGCAATGAAAGGTGAAAGTCAGGCCGGTTTCGGTGGCTCAGCCTGTAATCCCAGCACGTTGGGAGGCCGAGGCGAGAGGATTGCCTGAGCCTGCAGGTTTGAGACCAGCCTGGGCAACTTGATGAGACCTTGTCTCTACAATAAATCAAAAACTAGCTGGGCTTGGTAGTTCTGGCTACTTGGAAGACTGAGGTGGAAGGATCGCTGGAGCCCAGCAGGTAGATGCTGGGGTGGCTTTGAGTGTGCCACTGCACTCCAGCCTGGGTGATGGAGTGAGACTCCAACTCAAAAAAAAAAAAAAAAA